TTTTTTTTTTTTTATAGCCAAATAGACTATAAAGGTATTTAAGTTTTTTTATTGCAATTCCTGTCATTTTAATTTTCCACAATCCCTGATTTTCCTGGCATTTTAAGTCTTTCTCTGCTCTGTTTATTTATTTAATTCAAATACTTGAACGAGCAGGGGCAAGATGATTTTCAGAGAGAGAAAGCACTATATATGCATGTACACTTGAATGAAATTGCGGATGCTGCTGTTGAAGCAGACACAATGGCAGCCCTAAAGAAGGAATACAACCTAATTGGTGCTATCAGTTGACGAGGTGCATCATTGGTACCACAAATTTCTAACAGCAGGTGTATATATGTATAGTTTATATATATTCAAGTAGTTTACAACTCGTGTATGCTCAGTTCTCCTAATATGAACAGCTTGTGCAACATGATTTGAGGTGAGAGTCCCTTTTTCAAGCAGCAATGATGTTACTTGATGGAGGAGGGAAAGGAATTTCTTTGAATGTATAGCTGCAACAGGTTGTGGCAGTGAGAAAAAGGATGGTGTTTGGGGTGATAGTCAAATGTCATTATGAGAAATTATAGTCTGGATTGTTGAGTGTTCATGATTCATCCTTAGTTGTTTTGTGAAAGAATCTAATCAATGCAACCTAACCTCCTTTTTCCTTGAAGTAGAAACTTTTGGATTTAGAATATGGACACAGAAAATTACATATATTATAATCAGTAAAATCACACAAAAAAAAAAAAAAAAAAACACTTGCTAGTGAATCTAATCACTAGGGTTATTTATTTTCTATGATATACACTTTTGTAAAAATAAAAAAAATAAAAGTTTTGTCACATAAGAAGTAGGACTAGGCTACTAGTGTCTTTTTTTTTTTGGGGGGCGTGGGGGTTGGGGGTGGGCCACAGGTCATTGACTCAGTCGTTAATTGTACAGCAAATAAATGGGTGCATTGTACAAGTAAATGGGTGCACTAGAGCATTTTCACACTTGACTCCGTCTCATTGCCTATTTTCCAAAAATAGGTTCTTGTCTATTGTCTTGGAAGCACGATGTGTCATGATGAGAAAAAGGCCGTCCAGAGGAAACGTCACATTTACTTCAAATTGGTGTGATTGTT